CGCCCATAGCAACAATCGTGGAGGCTTCAAGAGAATTACTTTATATATAGTCAATATAGGCACAGAGTTAATTTTTTTTTAACATTTTCTAATGGTGGTGTGCCTCGTGATTTTTTTCATGAAAAAAGTGTGCCTTTGCACAAAAAAGGTTGAAAAACACTGAGCTAAAGATCAGGCCCCCTGCATCCAGGACAAAGAGCCCAATTCCCCCTTGCCAGTTGCAAACAGCCTTGGAGCGGCCCTGGAAACTGCTGGCTGGGGGGAGAATGGGGAGTGCGAGAGGCAGAAGGTGGGCAGATCAGAAATAAGTCACGCCGGGTTACAAATTGACTCAGGTTTCAAGGGGAGGCCCTGAATTTGAGTGGGGGGGGGGGCTTGCTCTTGGGCTCAAGGTGCCCCGTTCGCAATCCGAGTTTACGATGTCTTGCTACAAAGAGTTTTTGGTCTTGATCAGTTGGGTAGAAGTCATTTTTTAAAGTCTTAGCCATTCCTTTTTGGGACTCCGTCCAGAGAAGGCCAGCTAGTGGTTAGCATGGCGGTTAGTTCAGTGGTGGTTCAGTCAGACTAGAGCTGGTAGAGACCTTGGAGATCTTCTAGTCCAGCCCCCTGTTCAAGCAGGAAATCCTAGACCATTTCAGACACGGAAGGAAAGAGAGGAAAGAATGAATGAAGAGAGGAAGGAAGGATAGAGGAAGGAAAAGAGGAAAGAAGGAAGAGAGGAAGGAAGGAGAAAGGAAGGAAAGAAGGAAGGGAGGAGAGAGGAAGGAAGGAGAGAGGAAGGAAAAAGTTGTAAGGGACCTTGGAGGTCTTCTAGTCCAGCCCCCTGCTCAAGCAGGAGACCCGATACCATCTCAGACAAGCAACTGTCCAGTCTCTTCTTAAAAACCTCCAGTAATGGAGTGCCCATTATTAAAAGTCTTCATGCAGCGAGTCCTCGACTTATGACCACCATTGAGCACGGAACCTATGTTGCTAAGTGAGAAATCTGTTAAGCGAAATTTGCCCCACACTTTATACCTTTCCCTTTGTGAAGTGAATCACTGCAGTTGTTAAATTAGTTGACGGTCGTGAATCTGGTCAGAAGATAATCAAAGTTGCGACCGTCGTAAATATGAATCCGTTGTCAAGCATCTGCATGTAAATCACGGGATTATGGGGATGCCTCCGCGGTTGTTAAGTGTGAAAAATGATCATAAGTCTTTTTCAGTGCCGTCGAGTGGTCACTAAACAATCTGTTGAAGTCGAGGGCTACCTGTAACCAGGTGGTTGTCAGAGTGAAGCCCTGGTGTGGTTCTAACAGGTGTTCTCGATGCTGACAAAGGAAGTTAAAGGTAAAGGTTCCCCTCNTTGACTGCTGGCTGGCCAAAACAAAAATATTTTCCATCACTGCTATAGCTGCATATTGAATAAACCAGGTAATGATGGTTTATTTGACAAATCATGCAATATCACAATCCCCAACACCAATTCAATTTCCTTAACCCTGCTAAAGTCCTGCCTTTGCCCTCCTGCCCACTCAGAAGTGCCTTTTTCAGACTCAAACTGGAAACAGTACAGGGACCAAGAGTGGTGTTTCTCAACCTCAGCAATTTCAAGAAGGGTGGACTTCAAGTCCCAGAATTCCCCAGCCAGCATGAGGAAAAACTACCCTAGAATATGCATAAATACGCAAAATTAGCAAAAACATGCTCTCCTGTTTCCCTGCCACATTCGGAGTCCAGGTAATGCTTCACATTCTCTCTTCCCTGGTTATCCAACTGCTACTGCATTTTGCTTTCATTGTTAGTCAGACTGCAGACAGTTGGAGAGTAGAAGCCTGTGAGATGGGATCTAATTGTTCCATGTGCCAAAGATCTAATTGTTCCATGCGCCAATGATTTCTCAATTGTGATTTGTTTCCAAGTACTTTCCATAAGCGGGCAGGGGGCTTATAGAGCCAGGGAGGGGAGAGATGCCCAGGCAGCTCTCCTGCAGTTTTGTTTTGTTTTTTCAACTCGATCCAGCTGGATATTGAACTGGGAGATGCCCAGGGAAATGGGAACATACCATCAGCTCAAAGTGGAACGTGCATTTGAACCTCCAGTCAAAACCTTGGTTAAAAGATGGCGTATGATACAAAAGGGCACCTTTCTGAGATCCCGGAGAGTTAGAATGTGCTGGAATTTCTGATTTTGGTTTCGTTTGGTGATTGGCCTATGATGAGAAGCCAAGAATTGTGATGTATAAATCCTAGTTTGTAGGGTTATGTCAAAGACTCAATCATCTGTTGGGTTATGTCAAAGACTCAATGAGCCATGGTGATGCAGTAGTTAAAGTGCAGTACTGCAGGCTAGTTGTCTTGCTGCCGGCTGCCCGCAATTTGGCAGTTCAAATCTCACCAGATTCAGGGTTGACTCAACCTTCCATCCTTCTAAGGTGGGTAAAATGAGGAGCCAGATTGTTGGGGGCAATAGGCTGACTCTAAACCGCTTAGAGAGGGCTGCAAAGCACTGTGAAGCGGTATATAAGTCTAAGTGCTATTGCTTTTGCTATCCATGCCAAAAGTATCTAAGAAGGTTAAATCATGGTGGCCAAAGTTTGTTAATCTGTAACGTTCTGTTACTCATCCAAGTAACTTCATCAGTCAGTTTGTGAATTGGTGTGTTTATGGCTAAGCATAGTAGGTAGTTGTGGCTTAGCCAATGAATTATGATTTTTTAAAAAGTGATATAATGGGAAGCTAAACAAAAATGTAGATCCTGCAACTGAATTAGAGGTATCTCCACATGTTTCTACAAAAAAAAAAGTTGCATCTGAAGGTATAGCATTTTACAGAAAACTGATCTTAGAATAACTTCCTTTTTCAGCAGTTATGTTTTTCTTTCCACAATAAGCAATAACTCATCATCCCCAGGACTCTAATTAGGTAACTGCTGGGAGATCTTCTGATGTTCTGGAGGAAATTAGCTGGTGAAGGTAAACATCTGTCTTACTTGTCAAGCACTTCTGTCA